TTTTGCTGGGAAGGCTGAAGAAATCAAGACAATAAAGTGCAAATCCATATGGAACTCATCTTTGTCTATATGCAGCCCAAGAAGACAAGGTTATTGACTAGTACCTTCCATTGAAAGACCTTAACATAAGAGTTTAATAGATAAAAGAGAAAACAAATGATCCCACAGCAAAATAAAGCAATATTAAGCAGGAATTTGTCAGTGTAGATATGAATGCCTCTCATTCTCTAGTGAAATGTAATTTAGTAGACTTTGCTTTACACAAATGATTATTCTGTTGCATTAGAATATGGGCAGTAATGGAAGAAGTGTTTATTAATAAATGTACTGTGAGCATACACCATAGTGTTGACAAGAAGATACTGAAACTGAGGCTTTCCAGAAAGAGTTATTTCACAGTGGAAAAGAAGATTTGCAGAGGAATATGTATACATCTTAATTTCGAATATAAGGACAAGTAGGATTCATCTCAAAGTACTACACAAACATGTTGCCAACAGTTAAGTAAGTTACAAATGCAGAAAGGAATCTTATCTGAGCAAGAAATATGATGTTTTAATCCTGTTTCCAAAATTTTCTGCTGGATGTGTTTGCAAAGACTGTTAGTAGGTGTTTATTCATCATTTTTTTCTCTTAATTTTAATTCTCTGTTACCTAAGAGATCCACACCTGCTTACTCTCTTCAATTCAAATATACCAGCAGTAATTAGCAAGAAGTTAAAACTGTAGATTTTCCTGCCGTAGAAGATTCAGGATTTTCCCCTATACTTAATGAATAATGGGCTGCTCAGATGGGTAGAGGAAAGCCAAGGGCTGCACCCCCAAGATCACGCAAGAGTGAAGCTGCACCTTAGATTTGGTGGGCAGCACTGGATTGAATATTACTTTCAGATGTCATATTTCATTTACCTCACAACACAGTGCATGAACAGAAAACAAAATCCCAGAAGAGCACTTTGTAAAGCACAGAATTTTTAAAATATGCCTTTCTAAAAACAGAATTCACAATTTTAAATTTTATAGTGTGGCAACAAAAATTATGATCTGTGCAAAACTTAACCTTAATATTTTACATGCGTAATAAAATATGAGTCCATCTCACATATTAATATGTTTAAAAGGATTTATTTTTATATAGTCAGTGAGAAAATATTTTAACTCCTCAAACCATATTTTATAAATATATTGGAAGGTTAGGTACTCTATTTAGTATTTCTAATGATACTCATGAAATAATATTAGTAACCCCCAGATACAAGTATTCTTGTCTTTTGTATAAAGAAAAGTATGTGTGGGTTAATTCTTTAGTTTCCCTCTGAACTGAAAGATTATGATCTATTAGCATGATCTACATAACCCCAGAAAACTATTGCACTGATGAATGGGATAGGGATTTTAAAATAGAGGGTTAACTCTAGTGAAAATGAACAATTTAGCTGCAAGACTGCTTAATGGGCTAGGCATACTATTTGTTGGTATCCTTGGAAAGATTGTGTACATGAAAAATATCCAAGAATCTTTGTGAGTTTTGCCTGTAGTTATTGCAAGATATATTTTCAATGAAATCTCCACCCGTTTTCCATTAACACACTTGGAAATGCAGGTTGCAATGGTAGCACAGCTAGTATGTGCCCTACCTTTTAACAAGATAGATACACAGAGACAGAGTATTAACTTGCTTATAATACCATAGAATCATAGAATATCTCAAGTTGGAAGGGGCCCATAAGGATCATCAAATCAAAGGACAACATGCATACCATATGCATATGGAAATTCCATAATATCAAAATAGTGTGTGTTCCGTAGGGTTAGGCCAGGCAGATAGGTAATGCTAAACAACAGTAAACCACTAAAGAAATGTTTACTATTTGACCAATAGGCTGTACTGCAAGATAGTCTTTGACATCCTTAACTATAAGGCTGTTGCCTGTCTTCCTCCTTACTACTCATAGCACTCTCTTCCTCCATTATGCTTTGTTGGAAAATTCTCCTTTTTTTTTTTTGTCCTAATTTTTTCTCCTCTTGCTAACATTTTCAAGTAATAGCTATCTAGGAAAGTTCAGATTATGCCTTTCCCTTTTCTCCTTCCCCAGGCAGGTACCTATTTCAACCACCTTTTTTAAGATTCTCCCAAACATAAATTCATACACATGACAAAAATAAAAACACTTTTTTCTTTAGAGCAAGATAAGTCATCTTTGTCCAGATTTTTGCTATAATCTTTTCTCATATAAACTAGAAATGAAACCACAACACTTTTCCATGTTTCCATTAATTATTTTTACCTTTAAGTCACAGCTAGAGAGTTTTATAGCACAAAGTTGCCTGAAAACACAAATAATCTGGAATGCAAGAGTTATTTCTCTTTCAAAGGTGCTCTTGCAGCTCAAGGGAAAACAGCTTATTATTACAAAAGTCATCACTAATATTTGCTTACCATAACCTTGCCCAAAGATTGTTTGTGAAGCAAGCCTACAGAAAATCATGGCATGCCTTGGGTATGCTAGTCTCTGAACAATGACACTGTTGATGCCATTCACAGGCACCTTCCTCGTGGCATCACTGGAGGATGTATCATCCTCTTGCATCATATTCTTTTCAGGATTCAGGTTTTAATTAACACTTTGAGTCATATTAGCCCCAACAGTAAAATCCTTTGTGTAATCATTAGTAGCAGTTCCATTCAACTCCACTCCTAATTTCAAAGAAAATGTGACCTAGCAGATTTAAGAAGACTTAAACTTTAGATAAATAATTCAGCTTCACTACATAAAATTTACAAAATGCCAGCATAAGGATAGTCCTTAAAAAACAGAAGAAAGAGAAATACATATGGAAGGTGAAGAAATTCTTCTAGAAGAAAGTAACAGTTCAGATGCAGGACATAATAAGTGAATGTCTACTGTGTATAAAAATAATCCAGAGGAAGGTTTAAAATCAGAAGTCACTGAAAGCTCTGATATAAATCCAGGATAACTACAAATAGAAAAGCCAGTATAAATATCTGAGCCATTAGGAGCAACTGGACTTATGGAACATCCTTCCTCTAACTGAATCTTCTTTTACACCAGGGAACTGAATCGTATTACTGTTCTCAAGAAGAGACTGTGGGCTTTCCTGAAGTGAGGCAGGGACTCTTCTTCCACACTGACAGAAAAACTGTTCTGGAATCTCTTCTAAAGCATAAGATAATTTTCTTGCAGTTTTAAGATCAAACCACCACAGGCACACACAAAACCCTTACATTAATTTTGAGTCACAAGAAAGTATAAAGTTTGGCTGTGGTAATTTAAAAACATCACACTTAAATGGCTTGATGTGAAAATAGTGGAAAAACTGGTACATTCACAAAGCTCTGCAAATGACTTATAATATTTTGCAATAATAATACCAAGTCCACAGAGTGCTACAAAAACAGATGCCCATTGCATTAAAACAGGAAAACAAACAAAAAAGCATATCTATTTTGCACTTGAGTGAAGCACAGAAGCTTTGGCCCAGATAACCCTGATGTACACTGCATGTTAGGGAAGCTATGGGAACTAAAAAAGTGAACTCCTCTTAAGAATAGTAAGGCAGAAAAATGGGTACATCCTGTGGTACCTATTCAGGGATAACAGACAAAACAAAATCCCATTGCCTACACAAAGGCTAGTCCTGAAGACAGCTTGCAAGCAGCAGTTTCACTCTCAGACTATTTCTTCAGCTGCATAAAACTGTACTGGTAAGAAGACTGCTTGGGTGGGACTCATCTCCAACTTTATACATCTACAATATAGACATTTACATTGAGGCTCCTCTGAAAGACGAAGCAAGAAGTAAGTACTTCTGGGCTGGAGTTCATCCCATTTTAAAGTCTTATTCAGAGCTTGTCAGGTCAATCCTGACTGAGAAGTGCCTGTTTCATTCCACTGAACAAAAAAGGAGCTTAGGACTACCAGCTGAGTAGACGTCTACAGTTAGGTGAATTAATCCCTCTTTCTTCTCTCTTTAACTTTAAAAGACACGTCCAAACTCATCTGCAAGTCTATGTGGATATGTAATTGCTCAGAAAATCCCAGTTTGATGTCCCATCCTTTAAACCTATGTCTAGTAGTTCTAGTCTGTAAAAAGCATGTTTATGAATTCATCCAGATCCCCCCCATGCACATTTGTTCAGCATCTTTTGGAAAGCACTCTAAACTCTTATACGAGTCAGAGTGATGTGACTAGGAATCATAAAAGCAATTACCCAGGTTTGGTGTCTTACAGGATAGAAGAGAAAGGGACTGCTGGCAAAAGCACTTTTAAGAAATAGCTACTTCTTATTTAAAGCATGAAGAATTGTGAGATTACAATGCAGCACGGTCTTCGCACTAATAGTTCAAGATTAAATTTGCTGGTATGAAACATGATTGAAATACAGATTAAATTAGCAAATCAGAGATAGAATGGGTATGGAAATTAATCTGATTCACATATGATTACATTTGTTGAAGGAGAAGGATAACTTGCTGCCATCAGGAAAGACTGAATAAGACAGACCAAATATCAACAGATATAGTTAGTGTACATACACACTATATAGAATAGTACCAAAATGAACAATCATGACTTCAAAGATACCATTATTTTTACATCACATTTAAAAAAGCTCTACTTCTTGTTTCCTCAGCATCACTGCTGGCTGTAGAGTACAGTGATCTTCAAGTCATAAACATTAATGTGCATCACTTAGAGGAATATTTTCCAATCTATTTATAACTTGATTTGTTACTTGGACATGGTTCCTAATCTGCCATCAATATTATGAGCATCTGCCCTATGCCAATGAACTAATGAGTTCATTTTCTACCATGAAGTCACAAGCTATCTTTCTACATGTCATATCCTATACACATCAGGCTGACATTGCCCGTAAGTGTATAGGCAGCAAAAATAACAATAAACTCATGTTTCAATAATAAATAATGATTTTTTAAAATGCTAAATAGAAAATTCAGTCCATTAGTACTCACCACCAAGGCTTTAGATCTGTTACTCAGAAGCTTTTCAATGTCTCTGGCTGCAAGTTCCACGAGCTGACGAGGGTTGTTGGCTTCCACAGTATACAAATCTCTGTTTTTCAGATAAATCTGCAAGAAGAGGTAAAAATGGAAATAAATCAAAATGGCAACAGACATTCAAAATCAGCAAAGTGACTTGACAGGACAGGCATCATGATGTCATAGAATCATAGAACAGTTAGGGTTGGAAATGACCTTAAGATCATCAAGTTCCAACCCCCCTGCCATGGGCAGGGACACCTCACACTAAACCATGTCACCCAAGGCCTCATCCAACCTGGTCTTGAACACTGCCAGGGACGGAGTATTCACAACCTCCCTGGGAAACCTATTCCAGTGCCTCACCACCCTAACAGGAAAGAATTTCCTCCTTATATCCAATCTAAACTTCCCCTGTTTAAGTTTTAACCTGTTACCCCTTGTCCTATCACTACAGTCTCTAATGAAGAGTCCTTCCCCAGCATCCCTATAGGCCCCCTGAGATACTGGAAGGCTGCTATGCGGTCTCCATGCCCTCTGTTCTTACTACAGAGCTTCAGAAAGGCGCCTTGGATTAAAGAAATACTTCACCTTTTTGTCTGAGAGGTAAGAGGTGCCACTAAAAATCATTTATTACATCTTCAAAACTGACTGTGTCTAGCAATGGATAGTTCAGCTGCTAAATGCTCAAGGATTCTGATTCCCATATCATGCTGAGAGAAGAGTAAAATGGAGATCCTTTGAAATGACTGAAGTTGAAATCAAATAGTTACTGCTGGATTGAATTCTTCCTTGAATGCTGAACAACAAAAAAAAAAGTTTGAAGTGAATCACTTAAGTTATCCTAATGTAACGAGTTTGGTTCCTTATTTATTGTTTCATATGATAGTGAAGAAGAAGCAAAGGACAAAACCAAGAAAGGAGATAAAAAGGCAAAAGAATTAAAAAGGGGAAATAGGGAAGTCAAAGGAGGGGAAAAGATGGGGTGAAAGAAGGGGGAAAGAACTATAATCATGTTACTCCTCTATCATGAGTAAAGGTTATGTCTGGTAAGAGAAGATTAACTGTTTCCAAAGTGGAACACATATATAAAGGAGATAATCTGATTTGTTAAACAAAGCCACTACAATGAAATGCACTCAACCACAAGAGGTAAAGAAGAAAAAAGTAGTAAGAAACCCATTTGCCTATCACTAGAACTGGATAAAGCAAAAACACATTTTTGGGGGAGGGGGCAGGGAAAGAAAAAAACCTTATGGCTTGATAGGCAAATGGGGAAAACTAGCCGATGCAACCAACAGATGGCCTGAGTTTACTCAAGTACTTTGCCCCTTCGCAACGCTGCCTGATGGGGGCCATGCTATCTCCTGGGGAGTAATTCCAGGCACAAGCAGGAACGGGTCCAGCACTAATACACTGGCTGCCATCCAACACAAGACCAAAAAACTACAGACCAGACAGAGTCTACCAGCATTGCCAGGTTTCTTGGGTTAAAACTGTGGAGACCTTAAAGAAACTCACCAAAATGTGCTTCCAGTGCTTGTAGCTGATGGGTATTTATCACAGTCAAATTTCTGACAACTACAGTCATAGCTGCAAATTTTTATTGGGCACATCTCATATGCTGTCATCGGTTTTCAGCACTTTTGAATTTCACAACGATGATGCTGGGGTTTGGGTTTTTTTCCTTCAGAAGTACCATCTTTCCTTCCCATCAGTAACTGAGTAATTGGAATAAGCTTTACTTTTTTATATAGTAGCAATTACTTTTAAAAAATCAGTGCATCATGAGCAGAAAACCACTACTCAGGTTATAGTTTGGATATTTTTGAGGTGCTTTATTTTCAAAATTACTCCATAAAATGTTTATCTTCAGTATAATTTAGAGTATAATTTGGTATAAAGGACTGCAGTGACCAGAAAAACCTTACAGTCCTACAGGCAGGGCAAGAGTAAAAATCAGTTTTATAGATCCATGGTTTCTTGAATCAAGAATGGAAATTTCAGAGGAGCCTCAAAACTGACCAAACTCTCAGGTTCTCCCATCAAGAGCAAATATTCACCCTGATCACAGAAGGAACAGACACTGGAATGTGGGTGTTACAAGGTGTTTGTGTCTTATTCTTTGAAGAGAAGCGAGTACCAAATTCTTTAAACTTCATTTGTGACTGTGTAAAGTGCACCTGCATCAAAAGTTATTAGATTTATAGAAGAATAGTCACAAGATTTTGTAAATAGGTTAGAAGAATGTAAAATAACTTTCACAAAAGTTTTTAAATAGTGAGTTTATATTAAGTTTATGCTTTAAGAAGAATGGTTTTAATAAGAACTTTAAAGCATTCTTTTATTTCTGAAAATGTTTACTTTCCTTTGTTCAATGTTTTTTCTTGTTTCTTCATGCAGTTGCTTTTCAATTGCTACTCAATGGTGAAAGCATAAAATTTCAATATAAACCTGTTTCCTATGAAAGTTTTAACTAAGGAAAAAACATGTTAAAATTTGGAGGGAAAAAAATCCATTTCATTGTAATTAAATTGTTTAGTAATACACAAACATTAAGAAAGCCACAAGCTCAGAAAATATACAGTAAGGGCACAGTCAAGTATGTGCTCATGAAGGTTTGAAGTGATGGGTGATAGGGATGACTTGGAGATTGTGCTGACCAGCTACATAAGGACAAGTGCTGTAGATGCTTAGAAATGTTTAAGCACTTAGTTAAATATGACTTCTAACATGCTGTTACCTCACTGCCTCACCAGAAGTTAAGGTGATGGCACACTGCATCCATACAACTGTGATTTTCCACCCCACCAACCAGAAACCCAGTACAAATAATTTATTGGACTTAATGTTTCACTACAGAGCAGTTGAGAGTAAGCAATGCTGGTAAGGGACTGAGAAGCTGAACAGAAAGTTTGCACTTTCATCCTTATCTAACCCATTCTTATAGCAAACATATGAACCTATAAACCCCAATCTGAAAACACTCAATCTTTTCACACACCCCATTCCTATAAGGAAGTTATTCCCATACCTCCAAGCTTGAATGGTTTGAAAGCTGCAGACTACCACAGCATGGCCTAGCGGGTGTATTTGTGAGAAAAAAAAAAACACATTTAGATTTTTTCTTCTCCAGCACAACTTATCAGAATAGTTCAAAAACCTGAATCATTCAACAAGGAGATCACCACTGCAAGAGACAGGAGTTCTATTAAAACTTAAGATCTTTCTAACAGGCACTGTGGGTCCTGCTGTGCACAAGATCCCATCTAGATTTGAGTTAGTGACTCTTGTTCTCCTCCTCCTTGCTTTACCCCATGGCAGGGCTCAGAGCACCTACCTCCCCTGCTTCCACTGCTGGTGACAGATTTATCCCACAAGCTCCTAAACAAAAGACATCAGAAATAATTCAGAATTTCAACACTTCTTTACATTCCTGGAGCGTGAGACCTGCCTCAACTACCAAGGAATAGCTTAAGAATTATTCACTATTTATTGAAGAGGTGTGTACATGATTTAGTTGTTGCCTGCTCCCCTTCCATTCAGCTGTAGCACTGCAGCATTTCAGCACAACTCCACATGGGGAAATGATAAATGCTTCAGGATTTGGCACTCTTATTTCTCCAAGCCTCCCACCTAGAAGTCAAACACAATTAGCAGAAGCTCATCTCAAACAGACACAAAGGGTCTTATCAGCAAAGGTGTGCTCATTCGTCTTTCAAAATGCAATTTGGCAAGCTCTGTGGCTTGTTAAGAAGAGTTAATTTTAATACATTTTATTAAATTGCTTTGACCGAGTGAATACAAGTTTCTGTTGGCTTTTACATCTAAAATAATTTTTAGTACTTTAATCACACTTGTTTTGCGAAAAGCCCTCCCAGTTGTCAGTAAAACCCTAGAGTTTCTCACAGAATAAAGCCTCATTACATGACTAAGTAAAATCTGTAAGGTCAAAGCACAAAAAACACTTCAGTTTTTCTATGAAGTCAATAGCCTTGTACTGCTTGATTCAGGCAGGAATGTAATACAATTGCTTTCTCAATGATGAATATGTATTCTGGTATAATGAACTGCAAGGTGTTAGGGGAGAGAATATGATAGAGTCGCATTAGGGTGAAACAACACAAGAAGGACAATAGTTGACTGTGGTGAAGATTAGAAAATCTGACAGCTCCTCAGCAGAACATGGCCCTCTCCATTCAGTCTTCAAGGACATATTTATAAATCTCTCACAAAGAGACATTCTCTTGTTTTATATAAGACTCATGAGGGAAAATCAACCACTTCTGTACAAATTGGGAAAGAACGAAAGATGCACCTTTGTTATACGGCTCTTGCTACACTGTAGCCATGGAGATTGAGGCCCACTGTAACAGTAAAATGTTATTTAAATGGTCCTTATTACACTCAGAAAAAGTTCCTGAGAGTAATAAATCATCTGTGCTTTGGATCTGTGGCTTCCCATGGCAAATTTCTCCTGGTCCTTCCAAAAAGTCTCTTGCTTTCTACCACCACAGGGCATTAATAAGTCTCAATGACCACAACCTGCTTCACTGGGAACCTTCACCTGCACTGTTGCCCATAGGCTCCATTTCAGTCCGGTCCTTGGCTATGGAATATGTATGCCTGTCTTCAGCCCTACAGCTTCCATCAACTTTGACCCTATGCCATAGCTAGCCTATCTCCTCGATGAACCCCTCACATGTATGCTAAATCTTTTCTCCAGTCCTGCGTCTTGGATGGATGTTGGATCTCACTGATGTAAGAAAAGGGGAGAAGGGGAGCCATCTGACAGACAGCCAAATAGATGAAGAGAACTTGGGAGCAGGAAAAGTCAGAAAACAGAAATAATCACTCAATCCATGTAAGTGATTATCATTGTTAACTTTTTTATTACTGTAGATATTTTCCTTGAACACAAATTTTTAGTAGTCATAGAAAAATACATAATCTGCCCAGAGGCACCTAATTTTATATTCTTTCTACCATATCCTATTTCCAAAATTATACTAGTTCTTTCTATTTCTAATACATGCCATAGATTTCTCTTTCCTCACAAGACATTTCTTTTCTTTGAATCACAAGCCATC